CACACTCTGCATAGGTGTCACACTCCTCTGGCATATAGAAGAAACTGGAGGCTTGCGCAGATAAACATGAAATCACAAGGACTCAAACCCTGGCCTCTAAGGCATCACACTCTCCTAGTATCACCCAGCATTTTGGATCCAGCTACTCCTGGACCTGTTTTATTTCCCTTTAAGAACAGAACCTGTTGAGGTCAAGGTCTTCAATTTGATGCATCTCCATGTTGCTCTGTAACAGTAGGGGTGGCCTAGATTAGGCTGCAGCAGTAACTCCAATCCACTGTGGGTTAGTCCAGCTCAACTTGCTTGTTCTTGCTGCATGGTACCTGGCACAGACCAGCAGAAAGACACTATGTACTTACGGCAGCCTCTGGCGACCCAGGACCACAGAGTACCATCCAAATGCCTCTTCAGTCACAGAAGCAGCAAAAAGGGAATGCAATAAGTCAGGTACTGGCTCCTAAATGTCCAACTGAGAAGAGTCAGACATCAATCAATTCTGCACAAATTTCATTGGCTAAAGCTTATCATTGGCCACACACAACTTAGAGCAACAGAGAAGCGCAATCCTGTTGTGTGACTAGAAGGAATGGAGACAGGTTTGCGAAGACTCACTCCCAGCTGAGGAAGGAGGGAGAGCAAGAACAAGTGAACAGCAAGATGCCATGGGGCAAGAGACTGAGCAACCAGACAAAGCAAGGATGACCATGTCAAAACCTGAGAAAACCGAGAGCTGAAGTCACCCTGCCCCCTCCACAGGCATGTGCAAGTCCCAAAGTGCCTGACTCTGGCCTGCCTCCAACCTCATCTGCACTGCCATTGAGACTCCCTGTTCCAACCACACAGCACAGTGGGCTTCAGATACCACAAAACTTCTGCTACAAGCCTCCCATGGTCAACAAGTCTCCCTCCTGCTGGCCTCTCAGGGACCTGTTGTGTCAGAATTCCTGTAAATTCCCACTGTAAATCCTCCCACGATGCCAGGACAGTACCAGATGCAGACTCTGCCTCATCCAGGCCGTGAGCGCTTCTTACTAGTCCACTCCCACCCCGTGGACTGTACTTGTTTTGCTTATTCTTTTTAACTTTTTTTGTACAACCTGGGGAGATTCTAACCTGCTTTTAGCACTGATTGCATATAAACAAAGGTAATACAAATACAGAAAGACATATTTTCAGCCCCATTCCCATGTTCAAGATATATACCTTTAAGATAGAAGTAAAACAAAGCCATCTTTATGGGTCACAATATGAAAATCGGAATAGCAAATTGACAGAGCTGAGATTTCACTCATATCCTATGCTTTCTAGTTAACACTCTAGTCTCAGAACAAAACACAATGGCTATGGACACCTTCCATCACTTTTCTATTTTTTTTTTTTTTTTTTATGTGGTACTGGGGATTGAACTCAGGACCCTGCGCTTGCCAGGCAGGTGCTTATTCTACTGAGCTATCTCCTCAGCCCACCTTCCATCACTTTACTCTGTATTACAATAATCACTCCTTCTTTTTGTTCTGTTTTACCAGGCAGGGTCTCTCTGTCTCACTGTCTAGTCCAGGCTTCGTTCCTCTCTCCTCAGTCTTGGCAGTGCCTGGCAGTAATGTCCCTTCTCATGTGCACTAACTCTCATCCTGAACAATGAGTTCTGGGCTACAAAACAGGGTTAGTTTTTGCAGCTGTCCACAGGTCTTAGCCCACTTACTCCTTTTACCTGTCCTGCTCAGTTCTTTGTGCAAGCCCTGAAAACAACTCCCCCAGTATACCCCACATCTCCAGAATTGTGACCACTCTGTTGTACCCAGCAGGCATTCGATAAATATTCATGAAATTAAAAGGTGAGGAAAATGCGTAAAGTTTCCCAGCGTGGCTGCAGAGTCACCTGCTCTGGAAAGCTAGGCTGTGCTCCAGTTGCCTTAGATGGCGACCTCTGGAGGAGGCCGGGTCGCCAGCGCTCCACGGGTGTTTGCAGCGTTGCCTCCAGCGCTGAGAAGCATCCATTTAAACCGAACCCCAAGCAGCTGCCCACAGGCCAGCTTCACAGCGGTGCTCAGACCTGGCTGCTGCGTGATGTTTGATTCCTGCGTAGATTTAGTCCATGAAAGGAACGAGTTGAAGACCCCTGGTCACTTCTGTGGTATGATCCAGGAGCTGTGCTTTATGCTAGAACATTTTGTGCTTTATTATCTATTGTTTCCCGTTCATTCAAAAGGAGGAGGATCACTACAAGCCCGAGCTGCAGAGTGAGACCCTGAACCAAGTACATAAAGAACAGCACGTCTATAGAGAAACTATGGAACGTTTTTACACTCAGTTTACATTTTACTAATATACTCAAGCCGGCGGTCAGCGACAGCAACAGTTCCGGGTGCACTGCGGCAGGAGCGGCGCACACAGCGCAGGCTGCGAAAGATCAAAGCCACTTAGTTCTCGAAGGGTGTGTGCAATCTTTCTCATTTCAGTAGGAGAGTATTTTTGTCTCTGAAGCCGCTAATTTGATCTTCACATGAGTATGTCCTTAGCTTCCCTTATAGCAAAAATACGACTTCTTCAAAGCCCACAAGAGCCAAGGCTGTATTTAGCTGTAGTGGAAAGGTTCATCAAAATAATACTTTTATTACGGAACTTTCATTTTTTTGTTTATTTAAAAACTTTTTATATTTTTAAGAAAAATGTGAAATGATTACACAAGCTACCCAGCATTATGTGTCTACCTTTTATGTAAGCTTTTGGAAAAGGCTTTTTATGGAAAAGCCCTTCCAGGACCAGGGACATGGCTCAGTAGAATAAGTGCTTCCCTGACAAGCGCAAGGGCCTGAGTTCAATCCCTGGTTCCGAAAAAAAAAAAAAAAAAAAAAATCACGAAAAGCCCTTCCAAGGCCCCCTTCCCAAATGAGGTGCTAGATTCAGGCTCATTTAATAAACACTGCATGGGACATGATGTGAAATCTAAAGAAATATTTAGCTTTCTCTACGTTAAATTTGTAATGGATAAATGTTGGGGGAAAGAGTATACATGGCCTTCATACTGAGCTACATTCCCAGCCCTGTTTATTTATTTTTTTTATTTTGAAACAGGGTCTCATTAAGTGGAGAAATTGCCCAGGCTGGGCTGAAACTCGCAATACTTACAGGTGTGCACCACCATACCTGCTACACTATTTTGTTAACCACTGTGAATTTGCCTTTTGGGAGCAAATCATGAAATTTAATCATGAGGGAAAGTATTTATGATGCTGTTATATATATAAAAGCAGCATACCAAACTGGATGCAACCTCTGCTTGACATATATTCTATTTGTTACATATTCTGACTTTTTTCTATTCATATAAAATGGATGCAAGCGCTCTCTCTCTCTCTCTCTCACTGTCTCTCTCTCTCTCTGTAACTTAAGCCTCAAACCATGGTCTTTGCCTTATTCTTTTTATTTTGAGCCAGGGGCTCACAAATTTGCCCAGCATGGGCTGGAAGTTGCAGTACCCCTGCCTTGACCTCCCCCAGTCCTAGGCTTACAGGCGAGTACCACTATTTCCAGCTAAAAGACTGAGTTTTAATAGCTGTCTCTGGGTAGTAAAGCTTTAATATTTGCATTTTCTTTTGGGTTCTGACACCCTCTTTTTAGATGAGTCCATTGTCTTAGCTACTTTCTTATTGCTGGGAGAAAATACCCCACCCCCACAGTTTAAAGGACAAAAGGTTTATTTCGGCTCACGGTGGTAGAGGCGTCGGAACAGAGCTGGCTGTCTTTCATGGTAGGGAAGCATGGCAGACACGTGACAGGGAGAAGCTGCTGATGGTGTGGGAGGCAGGAAGCAGCAGGACATTCATTCTTTCTGTTTTTGTTCCATACAGGCCACATGCCTATTGGTTGGTGCCACCCATGCCTGGAGGCGGTCTTCTCTCTTCATAAAGTCTATTATCCACACCCATGCCATGCTAAGCCAATCAGTGGACTAAGCACATGCATGATCCAGTCACTCTCAAAAGCTCGAGGGACGTCTAGATACAAGCCATAACCTTCTTCCCCTCCCCCCCAAGACTCACATACATTCTTTTATGTGAAATGCATTTAGTCTATCTCTGAGAATTGCCAAAGCCATAACATTTTCAGCATTGCTGAAAAGCCCAGTTCAGATTCTCCTGAGCTTAAGGCAAACTCTTAGCTGCCAGCCCCTGCACAAATGAGAAGAAAGTTAAACACGTCTAGCATACAGTGACTCAAAATAAACAGGACCACTCCAAAAGGTACAAAATAGGTAGACAGAGAGGAATGGAAGTAAAGCAAGACCAAAGTTGAGGAAGGGTAAACATGAGGTCCCATAGTTCTATGTCTAGCACCTGGGACAATCAGGCAAGATGTGAACCCCAAAAGGCTTGGGTGCCCCAGCCATATGGCACTCCCTGCATTTGTAGCCCTTGTGGCCTCTTTCTTAAGCAGGCTTTGGCCACTCCTTGAGGTTTTCTTCGGATGATCCACCTTCCTGGCTTCTTCAACCTTCTGAGGTCTTTGCTGTACTTTCTGCTTCCGACTTACAATTTCACATAGTACCTTCTAGGGGCCTGGCCTCCCAGCCCTTCAGCTGAGATCTGGGTGGAAGCCTTCTGACCTCACAACTTTTGCATTCTGCATGAGCCTAAAACCAACACCATGTGGATGATGCCAAGGTCTTGCACTAACTGGACGAGTAGCTAAGCAACTTTAGACCTCGCTGATGGTTACAAAGGCCACTGCATGCCTGAATGGCAGCGCTTGGAGAACTAAATCCTGAAGGACGAATTCTATTCTCTAGGCTGCCTCCATTCTATAGCGTGATGCCATGGGGTTCTCTTCTCAAAGCAAAGTCTTTCATATTTGCAATTATGAGGCTGCAAAAGCTGGTTCTTATTAGTCGATTCCACTCACACTTAGGGTGGGTCTTCTCTCTTCAGTAAATCCATCATTTTTTTTTTTTTTTTACTGAGAAAAAAGTATATATTTAGAATTAGCCAGCTGGACTCAGTTTAGATGATCCCAATTTTGTTGGCAACATCCAATGCATCATAATCAGGAGCCAGTCGAACATATGCCTTCTTCTCTCCATCAGGCCTGATTAGGGTATTGACCTTGGCAACATCGATGTCATAAAGCTTCTTTACAGCCTGTTTGATTTGGTGCTTATTGGCTTTGACATCCACAATGAACACGAGTGTGTTGTTGTCCTCAATCTTCTTCATGGTGGACTCTGTGGTCAGGGGGAACTTGATGATGGCATAGTGGTCAAGCTTGTTTCTCCTGGGGGCGCTCTTCCGAGGGTATTTGGGCTGCCTCCGGAGCCGGAGCGTCTTGGGACGGCGGAAGGTGGGCGACCTTCGTATCTTCTTCTTGTGGCTGTGGATGCCTTTCAGCATGGCCTTTTTGGCCTTCAAAGCTTTTGCTTTGGCTTCAGCTTTGGGAGGGGCAGGGGCTTCCTTCTTTGCTTTCAGCGCCATCTTGGTAAAAAGCTAAATCCATCATTGACACCCAGAATTATTCTAAACCAAATAGAAAACTATCCCAATATCACACACCCAAGGTCTTATATCACATATCCACGATCCGATCACTCTCAAAAGCTCACCTTTGACTGCATGAGACTTTGGAGGGACAGCTAAAGAGAAGCCATAACACTTATATAAATTCAGAAGAAGTAATTGAACCCAGGGAAAATGGAATTCTAAACCTATCCATTTCCATATCCACCTTAATAAATTTCATGAATGTAACTATTTCAGAAATCATACAATATATCTATGTAAAGACACATATATGTAGAGAATTCTCAAGCTATCCTCAAAACCAGAGAATAATGTGATGGAGACCAAACTGAACCATCAGAGCTTAAAACAGCTTTATACAGAGCAAGGTTCATTTGGAACAGCAGTCTTTGGACCTGGATGAGAACTCATGCTCCACAGGTAAAAATGTACTCTGAAGTTGTTTGTTCAGTCACGATCTTCAGGCAAGTCTTTCTATGGTATTCTTCCTCCAATCCAATGCCTCTTTTTGCTTTTTTTTTTTTTAATTTGCAGTATCAGGGATCAAACTTGGGACCTTGCATTTGTGAGGCAGGCATTTATGCCATTGAGCAATCTCCCTGACCCTTCCAATGACTGTTTTTAAGGAGATGTGTGTTCTCTGGTTTTCATGTCCTCAATGACACCAATAACAGATGACAAATTCGGGCAAGCTGTTCAAGGTACAATGCATCATCAAATTCTTTTTATTTTTTCATCAAATTCTTGAGAATAGATACTTTATTAAAAATTTTAAATTAAAATCTTAGCTATTTAGGAACTGGGATTGAACTCAGGCCCTTGCACTTGCCAGGGAAGCGCTTATTCCACTGAGCCATCTCCGCGGACCTTTACTTTCTTTTAATTCAATGAATAGAAAGATTTGTTCTAATAGTGTTTGTGGACAGGATATCATGTCTACATCAGGATATCACGCCTGTACTATGAATAACAACTAAGAAGACAACAATATGCAATGTATTAATTATTGAAACTATCCTACTAATCGGTTTTGAAACTGTCTCATGGCTATTTGTTTCTCAATAAAATTATTAAAAAAAATAAAAACTTAGCTATTTAAAAACCACTGTTATTAACAGGATGGAATTGGGGAAAAAATTAAAAGTCAATAACAAAAAGTAGCACCAAATAAATTATTTGTTTATAAATAAGTTGCTGGAGGTTTATACCAAACAATTCATGACAAAATCACCGTCACAAAAACATCCAGATAACTCCCTACACGTGCTCTACAGGTCTGCTTAATTCCCCTCACATCTTTCTTATGCACTAAGCCTGAACCAGTTTCCTAAAACTTCCACTGGAGAACCAGCTAGCCTATGCATCACATTTTTTCTTTCTTGGTGGTACTTAAAGTAACATTAAATACTGAATACATGTTGTTTTTAATTTGACAAAATTTACTTCCAAACTAAAATGTGCATTATGAGCCAGGCATGGTAGCACATCTCTGTAATCCCAGCACTCAGTAAGCTGAGGCAGGAGGATCACTGCTGGTCCAAGACCAGCATGGACTACAAAGTGAGCTCAAGGCCACCCTGAAATGCATAGCAAGACCCTGTCTCAAAAAATAAAATAAAATAAAGTGCACATTATGAAAATAATCATCCCTGGGCAATCGGGCTGAAACAGACTTTTTATTACTTTGGAGCTAGAGATTTCTGGACAATTCTCTTTTGAGCAGCCTCCACCCCATCCCCTTTAATATTTTCCTTGGCTTTAGGTCTCCCCTGAGATGAGAAGCAGGTTGGCGCTCCAATGACAACTCACTGAACAACAGTTGTTTATCAGGTAAAAGGAGCCTGTTACATCCACACGGTGTACAATTCTCTAGATTCTTAGATCAAGGAGGAGAGCGTCGTTTTCCCCAGTAGGCTCCTGAGATTCATTTTTCTATTGGAACGTGTATATTTTTGACCTGATGATTTCACCCGGGAGCTTCCATACTGACTGCCTCCCTGGTTCACTGCTTGCAAGGCCCAGGCTAGGAATGATACCAGAGGGGACCTGCGTCTATGTCTTCGTGGATGGGTGTGAATTATGTGCATGCATGTGTGGTGTGTGTAATAAAATAGAAAGGGAGGAGGGACCTGAGGTAGTCACTTATGAATATAAACGTGAGAAATTTTGAAAAACAGATCTAAGAAAATCTAGAGACTAAGAAGATGAAATAGCTGTCTACTAGCAATGCTTTGAATTTGTATACTGCATTGCTACTTACAAAGTGAAAAAGCAAAATTCTAAGTAATGGACTGCAAGAAATGGATCAGCCTTCTAAGCCCTATGCAAACATACAGAACTTTTTCATGCCTGAGGGCCTTTTTATGTTGTAATTTTTTATTAACTTTAGTACAAGTTAGATATACATGATGGTCATACTCATTACGGGGAATTTTTACCTGTATATGATATATCTTGTTTCTTCCTTTTACCCCAGCCCCCTCCCCTCCTTTCAACTCTACTTCCTCTCATTATTTGCAAAGCTTCATTTAAATTTTATCTTTCTCTTACCATTTCTTTCTTTCCCCTTTCTTCCTTTCCCCTCCCCTGTCCCTAATTCTCTTTTCTTTTGAAACATTTCTTCCTACTTCACAATACCTATTAAACACTTTGGTTCTGATTTATACTTAAGGTTTCTCACTACAGGAAGAGATTTTCTTTTTGTCTTTTTGAGAGGGTTTCACTATGCATTTCAGGCTGGCCTTGAACTCTTGCCTTAGCCAACTAAGTGTTGGGATTACAGGCACCGGCCACCATGCTGGCCAGATGTTTTCATGTGCTGTTTTGCATACGCATTTACAGTTTCATGGGATGACTATGTAAATTGCTCTTCCATTCAATTATTTTTAGCACATGTAGATTTCTTTTTATATAGTAAAATACATAATCCTGGAGATATTTTTTGATGTATATAATAAGGGAATACTTTTTTTTGACTTTTGGAGTAATTTTTAGAATATGATGTTTCACTTAGTATGTGGATTTCTTTTCTTTTTTAGTATTTTAGGGAAGGGTCTACAGGGTGTTCAGGGTCTCACTACTAGATCGGACTCCTAGTGATCCGCCTGTTTACAGCCTCCCAAGAGCTGGGATTACAGGCCTGCGCCACCACACCCAGTCTCAATTGCCATCTCAGTGCGCCCTGGGGGCAAGGCCAGCATGGCAGGCTCAGGGATTGAACCCCTGGCCCTTGTGCCTGCTTGCAGGCACTTTAATTCACTGAGCTATTTGGCTGGCCCAGTATGTGGATTTATCTTCATTCTCAGTATTATATTTCAACTATGAGTTTTACCTAGCACTTAAATTTTAAATGTCAAGAGCAGGCAAGATAGCTCTGTAGACTAAGCGCCTGCTTAGGCAAACTCAGGGACCAGGATTCAATCCCCAGTATCACATACCGAGCTGCCCCGCCCCCCAGGCACACTGAGCAGCCACCGAGCCTGAGCTTGGTGGTGCACACCTTGTAATCCCAGCCCTGGGGAGGCTGAAAACAGGAGGATCACTAGGAGTCCAAGCTGCAACGTAAGACCCTGTACCAAATACATAAAATGAAAAAAAAAAAAAAATGTCCAAACCTCCGTAGAGAATAAAAGGTTACCTTAATATTAGATTTATTAGTATCATACACCAGGTTTATAAACCTAAGGGAGAAAGTCATGCGTATCTTTATAAAAGCATCACAGGATGTCATCTTCAGGTGGAAGCTAAAGAAGCCCAAGTCACCGAAGTTGAGAGCAGAGTGACGGTGATGAGGGACTGGGAAGTTGGGGTGCGGTGGGGGCAGGGAGGCGTCACGATTCACATTGCGGAGATGGGTTAAGTTCGAGATCGATTGTAGAATATAATGACTATGATGATATTAGTGATGATGTATCGAATTCTTAAAAATTTCTAAGAAAGATTTCTCAATGTTGAACTCAGGGCCTGTTTTTATTTACTTTGAAATTGGGTCTTACTAAATTACAGTTGAATGAGCTGAGCTCAAATTTGTGATCCTACTGCCTCAGCCTCGCAGAGAACCTGGATTGTAGGCCTATGCCACCAGGCCCAGCTTAGACAGTAGAGTACTAAAGTGTCCTCACTTCGAAAAACGAAACACCTGCAAGGTAATGCATGTGTTAATCAATTTAATGTAGCCATTCTACAATTCCATATTTCAAAACACTGTGTTCTATGCAATAAGTATATGCAATTTTAATTTACTAATAAAATAAAAAAATTAAATTTTTTAACATATCAGTTATTTAATTAGGTTCTTAGTAAGAAATTTAGAACACTAATTTATGAGGATAAATTCCATTTGTCAGAGCAATAACAGATCACTGGTAGCCCTGGAGCTGAGGAACAGCTTTGATTTTTGCTAAAATCTATGAGTCCATTGCTTTCTGATCCACCTTATGCTGCTCTGAAATTCAGTGTCTCTCTTTCTTGGTGTCAAAGATCTTACCATCCTGGTGTCTGGGTTTCTGCAGCTTCTTCTTCTCAAAGTAAGCATCAGTGAGGTGTTCGGGGATTTTCACTTTGCTGGTATCAATTTTTGTAGAGGTAGCAATGACAAATTTCTGGTGTGTTCTCTGTAGAGGAACACGATTAAAGCTGAGAGGCTTCTATTTAGTGGCTTCTCAGTTTTTTCACCCGCCATCTTGCAAGATGGGAAAGAGAACTAAGTTTCTTTAAAATGTCTAAGTATATTAGCACATGATGGCTAGTTGCGGTGTCCCATACCTGTAATGGCAGTATTCTGGGGGGCTGAGGCAGGACGACTGCACGTTCCCAGCCCAGCCTGGGCAACTTAGTGTGTCTAGAGATGTAACTCAGTGTGAAGGTCCTGACTTCACGCCCCAGTATTTAAACAAAAAACAGTAAACAAAAAAAGGTACAAATTCTCCCTAAGCTAACGTATAACTTCAATGTAA